CATTAGGCATGGAAGTTACGGATAATGATACTGCTCATTTTTGTATGCAGTATCATCAGTTATTAGAGCGTCTTCCTAATTGCACCATGGAAACAGCACTCACCGATGCACTGGAAATTTAGCAAGAGAGGCAGGAATGTGAAGCAAGCGCCAGTCGATCCTGCTGACTCTGCTATGTGATATTTGAAGATAACTGAGGAGACACCTAACTGAACATTAGTCAGACACTCGGTAAGATCAACGTTCAATGGGTCACAATGATCGGACGTCAACCCGTCAGAGTGTCATCAATGAGCAATGCGCAGAAACAGAACAATAATAAATAACCCTTCCTCTGCGGTCACTTCTCTCGCTAATTTCGCTTCTTCAGTTTTTTTTCATTCTCATTTTTTTCTCCCCTTCCTCTCATCCAACTGCCAGTTATTACTGCCCGTTTAACAAGGGTCTGCTGTGCTGACCAATTCCTTCCTAATTCTCTGCTCCTTGCCGAAGTTATCCGTAACTCCACACAGTTGTGTTGCTCCCTACGGCATTAAATGCATAAAACACCTGAACAATGAATGCATAATTTTTGGCAAGACCACTACAGTGAGTTTTTTCAGTCTTTACCATGAGTAATACGAAGAATCTCATCCGTTGTTTTATTTCTGATATAATTCATTCTGAAAGTCTAGCCCACATGCTTTAACCGTTCAGTTTTCTCATAGACTGTATGTTTGGTGTACTTTACGCTACATGGTCATTACTCTCTCAAGGGATTCAATTTTTCAGCAAAAGGGAAAATATATTAGAATTACGTATGTATTACGAGACACAAAATAGAAAATAGAATTCTACTCAAGATCTTGGAGCTAACAAAAAACAATCGGGAACTATGAGCAAAAATAACAGAAATAAACAAGAAGACAATGTCACTAAATCTCTTGATGACCGATACCAATTCGGTCGAAACATTGGCATTCTTGTGAACAGAACTACTTTCTGGTTACTCCTCCTGCCTACTGAGCAAGTATAAACATATTTAAACCTAGTGAACGAAATTCACGAAAGACACTGCGAGAGACCGCCATGCAATGAATATCTCTAGGCATATATTTCTATTCGCTGCGTGAAGGCTGATTACTGTAACCGAAACGCTCAGCTAACAACATGCTGCTAGCAAAGAATTATCACACCTACTATGACTACAGAAGTATGGCAGAACAAAAATCAATCATAAACGTGATATGCGTAACGGTCATTTAATAGTGAAGAGGTTAGAGGGGTAATCAGGACATAAATGGTTTTTAAACCGTGTGCTATACTACGATATCTTTGCACATAACCTAGCTTACAATCACTAGCTAAATAACTGATACTGAGACGACACTGGAGTCAAAATGGTAATTCTCAGTGTAGCGTACACGGACTGCTTCAATTCAACGCCAGAAACGATGATATCTTTTATAATCAATAAAACATGCGTTGTGAACAAAGGAATTTCTTCTATGTCCTTAGGCATAGGGAGCCAAGAAACGAACACCAAATCGATGACCTATAAAGTGCATAACGCGTAGCACGTGAAGTCATCACACCTGAGTTCAAGAAACTTATAGGTTAACTGATTTGATGCGTCTGCATTGGTTTCTATCCGTTATCATTATAGAAGGGATCTTACAGGTTCGTCATCG